GAACCTAATCTAAACTATGAAATGCAAAAACTGAGTATAATCTCTGCTGTAAAAGACAAAATAAATTATTTCATCCTAGAACTTTCTATGATGTAAATTTTATACACTGTGATCGATGATAATACAGTCTGAATAGATCAAAGTGTGGGGGTATACAATTATAAAAAAAAACAAGCATGTATTCTCTATGACACCTTTTTAGAGATTAAGAAAATGAAAAGGCAACTCATGTTCAGCTTAACCAGGAATCCAATCCTGGAGAGCACTAAACAAGTAAAGAAAATCCTCATCTTCAAAAATATAAATTAACTTCAACAAGTACAAGACACATTGAATAAATAAAAATCTGATCTCTCACAAACCTAAACCTTCTGTATACTGTACAACACAACAGAAGGCAAGGAAAAAGAGGTAAATACAAGGGGGAAAGGAGATGGGTGAAGTAAAAAAGAGAAGACTCTAGTCAAATGCAAGGAAAGGACATGGGTCAAGTGGAAATCAACATGCAAGGGAGTACCATCACACACAAATTCAAAACTACAAAATCAGGCAATCAAAAAAAAGAAAAATAATAACATCTGAATAAAGAAATCTTAAAATCAAACTGATGGTAGTATAAGAGAGAGCAGATATAAGTCATAAATTGCTGAAGAACATTAGTAGTAAATATGATGTTGTCTCTACTGTTTTTTTTGTTGTTGTTGTTGTTGTTTTTTGGGGGGGAGCACCAATTTTGTACTAAACCATCACTCTCTGAAATTACACCTGTTTTTATCTCCTGAAAAAATCTGAAATTTCCAGTCAAATATGCATCAAAGAGTTATGAATGAAAGCTTTGCTATAACATGAATTTCTATGCAGTCATTCTCTCTATACAAAATATACACAAGTATATTGATCGTTTTTCCATGAGTTTAAGATTATCTTACAGACATAGAAATTCATTCAATTCTTCAAAAGTTCATATTGCACTTTATGGATTATCCTAAGTGACGATATTCTTCTTTCTTTCTGAGTGCAAAATAATTATCAATTTTTGTCACATTTCTTTTTTTACACACATAAAATTATTCCCATGTCCATTCAGGGTAATTATCACTATCACTAAACAATAAATGCTAATAATACCAACTTCTTGACTGGCAGCAGAATAAAGAAGAATGGGAAACGGACTCAACAATGTAAGACAGAGCATCTCAATACAGCTTTAATAACCAGCAAAACCAAAGTAAACCAAATAAGAATAACAAGCAAGAAAGTGTACTGAGGTGCAGGATTTTGATTATGATACAATAATGACACCATTGTTGCTTACTATGTTGTTGTTATTCTTATTTCTATTAACCCTTTAGTCCTATTCACCATTATAATTAACCCATGTAGCAATTATCTCCATAATCATGGCTGACCATATAATGTGTAGGTATTACTTTTTGCCACATCCAAGCACAGCCTGTAAAAAGATGGCAAGTTTTTTTCCTCGCTACTTGCTCATGAGACACATTTTATACCCTTTAATATACCTGGTTGCATCAGACAAGATTCCTCCTGACACAAATACCATACCTTCCTTTCCCTTTGTTTTCCCCACTTATTTCTTCTTGTCAATGGAGCATAGCAAGTCTGAATTTGTAATTTAGGTACTATCTGCCATATTTCATCCAACCCTATCCTTTATCTTTTCCTCTACACCCCTTACATTTATGGGTCACAGTGTTACCTCCCTGTATATCACCATTCTTTAAATAATCATCCATCTAAATATTTACACAAGTCCAAATGCATATGTTGTTGTTTTAAATGAGGAAAATATGATTTTTGTGCATTTAGGTGAGTTTTATTTAGATGCTTATGGTAATCTATCCCCTTTTACACTCCCATCCAAAGGGCAACTGCATTAACATTTTCAACATTGCATTGCATTGATGTTCTAATGTACTATATAAATGACAATCAATTACAGATATTTTGGTGTGTAAAATAAAGCTCTTGAAATGAGATAGAGGAGAGAAAAAAGGGTAAGAAATAGGAAAGGAGAGGCAGCAAGCAGGAAAGGGAGAGATAGAAAGAGAAGAAGAGGTTTCAGAATTGATGGTGAGGGTATCCATAAGACTGATGACAAAGTTAGGGCAGTTAACCCGTAGCAGACGGGTGGCATGTACGTACATGCCATGGCTGTTGTGGACTGAAAAACTGATGGCATCGTATCATGCCCATTCCCACACCATTGGCTCATCGGACGGAGTTTGTTTTTCTCCGATAGTAGTGGCTTCATTTATATAGTAAAGATTTTTGGCAATGGCACCTATAATGAAGGTAAACCTTGAAAACTATAATATCTTTATAAATTATAGCAAAATAAAAGCTTTTAGGTGCCAAATGTCGCTCGAAAACAACCGGTCGAGCCGAGCGCAAAAAGGGGAAACTGCCGATGCGCACCAATAATCTCGTTATTACATACACTTGCCAAACATTTTTACCCGTCGGCACTGGGTTAATTGTGCCAAAGTGCTAGAGAATGTCAAAGAACTATAGTAATTCCTAGGGTTAGTAACATTTTATGGTAAATTTGTAAAGAATCTAGCCACCATTCTAGCCCATTGTATTATTTGACCGCAAAAGAAGTTCTGTGAAACTGGTCAGTAAAATGTCAGGAAGCTTCTGACTGGATAAAAGCTGAAATAACAGTTGAAACATTTCTAGCACACTATAACAAGGATATGCCTGTAAAATTAGTGTGAGCTGCATCGTAAGTAGGGTTAGGTGCAGTATTGGCACACGTTACAGAGGATGGTACTGAAAAACCCATTGCTTTTGCTTCGAGATTGCTGAACAAGGCAGAACAAAAATATTCCCAAATAGAAAAAGAGGGACTGGCACTGGTATATAGTACTAAGAAGTTCCACATGTACCTGTATGGTAGAAAGATCTTTACATTAGTAATAGACCACAAGCCACTGTTAGCTATTTTAGGACCGAAGAAGAGTCTGCCAGAGTTAGTAGCAGTTCGTCTACACTGATGGTCAATAACCCTAGCCGCCTATAATTATGACAAAGTATAGGTCAACATCCAAGATGGGAAATGCGGATGCTCTGTCTAGACTGCCAGAAGATCAGGCTATGAGTGAGGTAACATCGAGCATTTAGTTAGTAGAAGCATGTGAGCTGCTGATTACATCAAAACTAATTGCAAGTCAAACTAAGAGTGATCCTATATTATCAAAGGTTATACAGTGTCTGATATAAAATGATAAGGATGTATTGTCTGAGCAACAATACAAACCATTTACAGATGTGTGGTATGAACTGTCAGTATTACAGGATTGTGTAACAAGAAATACCAGGGTAGCAATTCCAGACCGTTTGAAGGGAAAGTTTCTTGCAAAATTGCATGTCGAACACCAAGGTATTATACGCACGAGGGCAACTGCTTGTACTTTTGTGTGGTGGCCTGGTATTGACAATGACATCACAATATATGCAAGAAATTGTGAGGGCTGTGCATTGCAACAAAACATCCAGCTCCATGTAAGACACATCCTTGGGAGACACCTAGTACTCCTTGGCAGAGATTACACATTGATTTTGCAAGTCCTTTTCGAGGTCACACTTTCTTGATTGTAGTCGACTCATTTAGTAAGTGGCCTGAAGTTAAACCAATGACCTCAACAACCACATATAGCACTGTGCGAGTGCTATTGTCTCTGTTTGCAACCCATGGGATACCTGAGCAAATTATGTCAGACAACGGACCAGCTTCTTTCATGTAAGTTTAAGAATTTTAGCAAGGAGTACAACATCAAGCATATTCGTAGTGCTCCATATCACCCTGCAATGAATGGTCAAGCAGAGATTTCTACAGACGTTCAATCTAACATGAAATGAAGGCAGTAGTAAATCTGTCTCACCACCAGAATAAACAGGTTCCTACTATCATATAGAACCACTCCTCATGCACCATAGGTTGTTCACCTTCATTTCTTTTGGTGGGGAGGAAGGTGAGGTATAGGTTAGATGCAATGACACCAAAAATAGCTGAAGAACAAAAGAGTGAACCCAAGAGTGTGAAAGATTATAGAGAATTTAACATTAGAGATAAGGTATTGGTAAGATCATATACTTCTTCAGAAGAAAAGCGGTTGAAGGATAAGTGGTACAAAGGCTAGGATAATTGCATTACATGGTAAAAGATCATGATGGTAGAGATGAAAAGGCAGATTGATCAACTAAAGCAATCACATCTAAAGAAGGGTGTAATTATATTTCTTTCTATGCAACAGGATCAGTCAAAACAGCAGGAAAATATGGATGTTAATGTAGACCAGGAGAATGTGCCTTCACAGATATCTAAAAAGAAAGAGTTTCCGCAAAGGTCTACCAGAGATAAATTTCCGGTAGATATGTTGATAAATACATTCCTACGGGAAAATGGTAATTGTATCTCTGTGTAAGCAAGTCACCGTGATGTGTATTAATTGTAAGCTTTGGGATAGTTGTAATACTTATAATAATTGTAATATTGTCAGCTATTGTGACATTTGTGATATGTACTTATTTAGTGTGCTTTTATGATTCTCAATAATAGTATTATCTTCCATATGGGGGAAGGAAGTGTTATGTATTAACATATACTAAATAATATATATTATTACACTATAAAGTTCCTATGTATAAACTGACTAACATTTACTATCTTTGTGATACCCTTGTAACAACATGCAATCGGATTTCTATGACCTGTCAAATGTATCCCATAGCAGTGATGCATGTTACCCCTCATGGCTTAGCAACAATAAAGAACAGACATAGAAGAGACTCTCTCTACAAACCCTACAAAAAACAAGTTTATCCAAGACTTTGTGATCCCTACTTTGTCAAACGAGGATGGGAGATAACGAAGCATGTTATACTGTTTGGGAGATAGATGAGAACATCTCTAACAAATACAATATAAAGTTGCTCTGGATTTAAGGCATAAAAAATGATATATATATATATAT